CACCCATACAAAACAACAGGCAAAATTATTGTTTTGTATATTTTAATCTATTCTTTATTATCCACTCCAGTATTAAGTAGGATTTGAGGTATAATGAATTCTTCTCCGTCTTGTAGCCCAAGAAGAATTCATTATACTTAGTCACCATGAAAGCTTCAGATCATACAGGATTTGAGGTTTTCTCAGTGGTGAATCCAAAGATGGCTGTCTTCTAGGTTGCAGTGCCATGTAGTCTGGTAGAAGTTTACCAACATTTCAGAGGTCCTTGCTGCCTCCATCCTCAAGGCGATGTGTTACTCATCACCCTGATGACACAATGAATTAAACAGCAAAGGAACTCAACGTTTTTAACCGACTTCCTTTACTAAATACTGACAAAATCTGTGGGACCTAACACATGACGATGACAATAAAAGTAACAGAGGTTAAAATGCTAATCAAAATATTGCCTGACCCTGCAATATGTATTAAGTTTGATTTGTGTACCTAAACAATTGCTCTTTTTTTACTGCCCCATACCACAATAAATAAGATGCAATCAGCAATATTTCATTCATGGCAACAACAAACAAAGCAGTGTTACTGGTTTTTCTGCTGGCACGTGGCATGCAGGCTGACTTCATGCAATCCACTACCTGTTTTTAAAAAGATCCTATGACATTTTTATTGCTACCAGTTTGATTGATTTGCAACAAGCTGTTCCCTCCATTATGAATTAACTGATTAGTACAGACACATGTTAAAAGCACAACATGCACACACAAAATTTTTAAGCAGAACAGAAAATTTACCTATTGTTGTGATGTAAGGCATGTTTGCATTATATAACAATCCAAATTAAAGACTTCTGTAATAACAATCATTGACTTTAAGATATGGATTCTTATCTCTGGACACATATGTTAATACTGTCCTTACAGAGGCTTCAGTTGTTTTTAAATTAAATTATGTTAATACTATCCTTACAGAGGCTTCAGTTGTTTTTAAAGTACTACGTACTGTGGCAGTTGAATAATTATATAAGCTACTAAACAATCCTCTCGTATTAGACTAAATGTATCAGAATCAACAAATAAATAAAATAAAATATTTTGAATATCAAGTACTGAACATACTCATGGATTCATTCAGCACATGAATCATTCTCTGTAACAGAAAATGGGCCTATGTGTTTGTTTTCCATCAAAAACTTCCGGTAGAAAGAAAGTATTAAATTTCGTTCTTAGCGTAACAAAAATTTGGATATGTAATAATAAACTTAAAATATCTTAACTTTCTACTCTTAAATTTGAATATGTTATATAATGCAAAGAAATATACAGTTCTTCAGAAAAGTTGTGATTAAAGCCCACTGCATTTAGGTTATGTTGAAACAAGAATGAAACAGAAGCACCAACTGCTATTCTTACCCATGCTGATGTAGAGGCATAGAAATCCTGCAAAAGATTAATACATAACAAACACCAGCATAGTATATGAGTACAATAGAATACATGACAACAAATTAAATAAGCAGTATCACCTGAAACCACGGTCTGTAACCAGACGCAAGAAGAGATGAGTAAGACGTGCTCGCTTTAGAACACTTCGTTAACTCAATTATGTTTGTTACTTAATAAACTATTATTATATTGTGTTGGCAACATTGTTTATACTTCGTGAATGAAAGGCTACGTGTTTAAATTAGGTGAATAGGCTCTACACAACAACTGCTGATTCCAGTTTCAATGTTTATTAAAAATCGATCACATGTTTAAACTTTAATTGGCCATCTTCAGGCAGTTCTTTTTAAGTGCTCTGACCAACCTGGTCAAATAAAAAACAACTTAAAAATTATCTAACAATGGCCTATCTTATCTAACCTAACTTTCCTAACTGAAGGTAAACAAACTGAACCTAACCTAACATAAATTAAACTGCCCTGTCCTAACCAGACCTGACTTAACTTACACTAACCCACCCTAATGTAACCTAATCTGTCCTTACCTCACCTAGCCTGACCCCACAAATAAACCAACCATAATCTCTGATTTCCATAATTTTCAATTTTTCATGATTACAAAATTCTTAAAAACTTAAATTTCCAATTTTTGAACATTTGTGAATAACCGTACTTTTAAAATTTTCTAAATTAAAAATACAAAATTGAAAAATTCACAATTCCCATATTCTAAATTACAACATTCAAATTCATATTTAAACATTTATCCTACATACTCCCTTAACGGAAAGTAAACAGCCAAACGCAAAAAAAGGTATCCTAAAGAAACCTGGCCAAAAATAACCTAACGGAGTAGGATATGAGGTTTCCACGGCGGTAAGTCTGAAGATGGCCTTGTAATCCTGGGGTCTCGGGTTCGATTCCCGGCGGTGCCCGAATTTATAACTTGTGTTGGGCAAGGCCGTGGTCTAGGCAACACGGAGTTTTCCTCCGTGGCATCCCAACAATTACTCCATTCACACACAGAAGAAGGCAATGGCAAACCACTTCTGGATCATCTGCCAAGAACGTATATGAACAGGTCCCAGTCCGATAAAAGGATGGAAGGATCCTGTTCATATGGACCTGTCGTCAGACAGAACACTAAATAATAATAATAATAATAACAGCTAAAAAGGAAGGATACAACATCGAAATCTTGGGACTCCAGAAACCACGGAGAGTTTACCACGAAGACCACAGATACGCACGCTGCAGGAATTGCATTCCTTCTTAGCAAGAAAGCCAGAGAGTCTAGCTTGATTAGGTGGCAACCAATTTCAGAGCGGCTAGTTACAGCGCGGTTTAAATTTAGAGCTAGAAACGCCTTTATAATTCTGTGTTATTCACCGACAAATTTAACCTCCCTAAAAGAGAAAGATGCTTCTACGAACACCCTGAAAGTTCTATAAGGTATATCAAGATACAGGAAATCATCATTCTAATGGGAGACTTGAACGCCCAGATAGGAAGAGACAATGAGGACAGAGAAGGAATCATAGGAAACGAAGCTCTTGAAACGGCAAGTACCTCATTGACTTAGGCTCCACTTACGAACTTATCATTGGTGACTCCTTCTATCCACACAAGGCAGTCCACAAAGCCATTTGGGTGTCACCCAATTAACTAGACCAATGGAATAATATTCAAAGAGCCTTCAACAACACAAGTATAGAGATGTGCAGGAGCTGACAAGATCCACGGAGTGCCTTACAAAATAGGGCTCTGGAATTAATCTTCATAAAGTAGATAATATTAACTGAAACACCCTTAGATAAAACATGATTTTCCTCAGGTCGTTCATGCTTATCTTCCGCCCACGATTCAACAGCGAAGATGTAGGACTACACACAATTCTTCAGACTTTAAAGTTGGGCAAATACCAAGGCCAACAATTTTCCGACCATTGTTTGCAAACAAAACTGACTGAACATTGATCGCGAATGATGTTTATGAACAGTGCTGGCACGCGTTAGATATTCAGACCAGAATTTCTTTCAAGAAACATTTAGTCTGCTGCACCTGTAATTCTTTTGGCCACGATCTGACGAAGATTTAACCACTTGCGAAGACAAGAAGAAAGAAACCAAATTTCGCTAATATCGATCATAAACAATGATTCTCAGTTTGCTGCGTGACAACCGAATCTTGGGAAAATTTAATACTTGGAGAAAACTGTTCATGCGAACATTTAATCTTCCGTATCAGACAGATAAATTTTATTTATTTATTTTATTTAGTGTTCTGTCTGACGACAGGTCCATATGAACAGGATCCTTCCATCCTTTTCTCGGACTGGGACCTGTTCATATACGTTCTTGGCAGATGATCCAGAAGTGGTTTGCCATTGCCTTCTTCTGCGTGTGAAAGGAGTAATTGTTGGGATGCCACGGAGAAACCGGGGAA